TGATGCAAAGAGTCTGTGCTTTACTCATATGGAGAGTGCAAACCATTTCATCGTAATTCAGTTTAAACGGGATCTTGTATTTCGAGTAGTATTTGCCCACACTTTCCAGATAATCACTGAACAACTGATCCAAACAGATATTCATATACAATAGAAATGCAATTTACAGTCACACCACAAACAAAATCAATTCAAACAAACGTTTTGATAGATCTTGAAGTTCTTGTCCACACATTTGGACACCTCTTCAGTCTCTGTGAGCCGAGTGCTCAACACATCCAACTTGGAGGCCAACAGCGCCTGTATGTCAGCGTCGCTCATGTGATCCGTGTCCACGTCCTGACCGCTCATCAGTTGCAAAGCGTTAACGCATTTATCTTTGAGTGTTTGGTAGAGCTCTTTGTGGACGACCTCCGCATTGAACTCAGTCTTCAGAGCAGTCCACTTGTATTTGTCCACCAGTTTATAGATGTCTTCATTTCGGTGCTTCAGTCCAGTCAAAGACAACGTCCTCTGGAAGTCCTTATCCTAAACGTTACCATAAGACAAGGCATTCAATGGCCGACAATACAGTGAAACAACGCTTACTTTAATTTGCGTACAAATGGTGTAAAGGATTTGATATTTGGTTTCAATTAACTTCATCTTTGAATCGTCGGAAACGCTCTGCAAAGACATCAATACATCCAACCATTCATTAGTTGCACTCATATTTCAATGCAATTCAATGAAAGCGTCAATTGATTACCATTTTGTGCGACAATTAATGCACTGTTTTGTTGACAACTGTCACTAAATTGCGGTTTAATTCACAACTGATTATCAAATGCTTTCCAATTGAATGCCAAATACAACAACACAAACATCTATTGAATCATAAATAACGTGCCATTATTGCCACAAATAAAGCAATGATTTGTGTGTCAATTGTGGGCTCAACTGAAAACGTTTTATACTTTCAATGGTTTTATAAGTTTGCGCCAAAATAATCAAAATCAATTTCATTGGAGACACATTCATATATGTGGTTACTTATTGGAGGGGGTGGGGTGGCATATGTAGCTATCATAGCCTATGATTCATAGGAATCAAAAAGCAACTAGCTCAATTAGTTGATAACACTTAATTCATTGTAAATTATAACTACAGCTATTATATAAATATGATTGAACTTATATTAAATTAAAGTGATTTAGAGATTTCTTAATTTAATAATTTTTATAAACCAAACGAAACTATAATTAATTAATTAAATTAATTATAATTAATTATTTTAATTATTACAAATTTAATCGACTGAGTTTTAGATTTACATTAAATTATTTGTGAATACATGTCAATCAATCAAACCATTTATTCGCGACAAAAAGCTAATCTCATTTGTAACATAAAAATTCCTTTCATACGGCTTTTGAAAACATTATTACTATTTATTTAATATACAAATATCTCAAACCGATAGCGAATTCTACAAGGAATGAGTGTTTGTGTGCTTTTAGTATAGGAATAGCATCTAATTCTCAAAGTTA